CGATTATTCCGCCGACTTTATTCATTAATAAAGTTGGTTTGTGAACTCTGCTAATATTATTTCATTTCCTCAATATAATAGGTGGCATAACCAAACCATTGCTCTACGAAGATAGAAAGCAACTGTTGACCAAGTCGCTCACTAATTCTCAATCCGTGTGATCAGGACGGATTTCAAACTTTTTCTGATCTGGTGGCAGCAACTCTCGTGCTACCAAACTAAATTAAAAAAATAAATACCTTCGGCTGAACGATCCTATATGTATATGTATTTTTCTAGTGCGAATATAACTGAGATAATTATTATATATCTTTAGTAGTATATAGAGATAGCCAATTCAGACCCGACGGTCATTTATTACACTTCAATACATTTCGATTATTAATATCCACATTAGTTTTCATGCGATGACTGGATTATTCTTCTGAGAGATGACTATTTATAGGTCATTCGAGTGCTTTCCCCTATCCCCTCTTCCCCCTCTCCGTTTCCCCGTTTAGCGGAAGTTGACCGTTTAGCGGGAGTTGGCCGTTTTCAGCTTATTATGTATTCAGCTTATTTTGTATCTATACGCCAGCTTGGCTGATTGCGTCGTTGGACATGTATGCAGCTTCTTTGAATTTCCTCCTAAACCATTGTTTCCTGTGGATGATCTAAGCTTGAGACCATTTGATGTTATGTTGATAGATCCAAACATGCTCTACTATTCCCGATTTACTGGTTTCTCCTCGCTGTGCTCGGTAATACGGACTTTCAGTGGCCTCTTAGTTTCACCGATATAGGTGAAACTCACAGGGTATCCGGTAAATGCAATTTTCGGAATCGCAGTCCGCATTTGGTGGCCTAGATTTCGTGAGGGTGCTACGGATGGTTTTTCCGGATCTGAATTAGGTTCTGATGTTGAACTTGGACCCAATTTTCTTATCCTTTCCGACAATCCTCCGATGTAGGGAAGTGCAAGCACTGATTGTGATGGCTTCTCTTCCTTGAGAGGCTCTTGCTGTCTTTTAGCCAAAGTCTGTTGGAGTAACCATTCCATTGAGGATCTTTTTTGATGATGCCAAGTTTCTTCTCGAGCCCTTCGTATTACAGAGCCCGAAAGCACTTAGTGTCGGACCTGTTCACCTTTACGTCTAAGAATGGCAATTCGTTTTGGACTCCCTTCTCCATTGTGAAAGTGATGGAAGGTCTTACGCTGTTGATTTGATTTGTATTTTTTAATATAATGAGAATTTTAGTACCTTACTGCAGTTTGAGATATCAAGCTAATTATTTTATGCATGATGGAATAATTCATAATGAACATTTAACAAAAAAATACTGAGGCAACATTCTCATGTTGTACCAGACATTGAAAAACTTATAAATCGAAAACTATAAAAAACTGCACAAATACAGAGGGGGGATTATGACAGGTACTTCTTGAGATTTTATGTAAACATTTTTTTGACGTCTCCATTTGGGACATTCTGTATACAGATAATATACACTAAAATCTCTATTCAAGATAGATGAATGTTTTTTTAGATAATAAGAACCCAATATGAATTAACTATTCTTCATAAGAAATAAAAGTGACTCTCCTCATTGTTAAATGTATTTTTTAGAGAATATGAAGGTGGATTGACTTTGCAACGTTATAAGACAGACGAAACTGGGAATGGTTATAATGTTCCCCAGGTGGATCGAGGAGTTATCAACAGCATCTACACAAAACACGAGTTTTATTCCGAAATAATTATGGAAATAACTACTGTTAATCGTTTAATCGAGAAAATAAATAAAAGAAAGACCAAGTCGCTCACTAATTCTCAATCCGTGTGATCAGGACGGAATTAGGAATTTTGTATGGGAAAATTAATGTAACAAGTGAATGAAGGTATACAGCAAACCATCTCGTGAAGAAGGTGTCGAATATTTATATCTAAAATCGAGCCTCTGAAAAAACTATTTTTCAACAGTCCAAAATGTCAAATACATCTCCAAAAATTGATACTTTCAATAAGTTACGATTTCAGATTCGTGATTGTAGAGCTCAAAAGTATGTAATAAAAAAGAAATGAATAAACATTTGCCATGAATTCTGATACCGAAATATTACCTAGAAAAGTGAATGACTTCGAAATATCTTACCATCTTCAACTCGTTCCTTATTTAAGTTTTTTCCGTATTCGTTTCCATGTTTTATAAATTGATTGTTACTTATTTTGTACACTTGAAAACCTGGGATACAAAATCCGAGATCTCTTTTACAATCATGGTATTTGGTCTGAAATTGAGAAAAAAAAATGTTAAAATATATAACCAACAATAATCGAAAATTGATTCAGAGGTTTCTTGCAATCCTGGGCATGTCAAATAATAACAAAGGCCGTAAACTGATTATGTTATGCCTTTGAGTATGGTCGTTTTACTGTGCAATGAGGCGATATAAAACAAGAAGAAACACATTTTTTTTCATCATTTAAAATAATTGATGTGGCCCTCAGATATCTCAAATCTCAAACAGTGAAAAAAAATTCTCTAAACTATTTTTTTCTCCAAAATGTTCGAATTTGAAAATGGGCTACAATTTGAACTCGATTCGATCTCGAAAATACATTCATTCTGGCGTTGAAACGATGACGTCATATCAACTATGATTTGAAACGTATTCATGATGATTCAAAACTAGCGTGAGGTTGGTTTTGAAACGGAATTTGACGTTATGTTAGGTTATGTTAGGTCCAAAGTGAGTGGGTATATTCGACCCTCCACCACAACCCGCAAGGGTTTATTATGACTCACACCTATTCACACTCGACCAAATAAACCCAGCTCTAAAAAACTCATTCTTTCCCCAGCGGGGCAGGCACAAAGAATGTGCTCTGACAGTCAGAGTCTCTGCATATGATGATTCGAACGACAGTGACCTGAAAGAAGGTCTCTTAGACATCGTAGTTCATCCCAGCCAAGAGTTTCCAACGCCACTTGACTGCCCGAAAATATTTTTATTGACTTGTGTATGAGGTTGGATTCTTTCAATCTGTCCCCACACAATTCAATAGCGTAAATTTCCGCTTGAAATACAGCAGCATAGGTTCCTAGGCAGGTTGATATCTCTGTCCTGGGTCTGCTACTGAAAGCACCTTCATGACGTTATGTTACGTCAGTTGTCAGTTTCTGCTTCATTTTGATCGTTATAAGGTTTGTTCTGGTTACGAAATTCAGATTCCAGGACGTCAGGATCATGCGCAGTTAATATAGAGCGTTCTGGTTTATCGAGGATAAGTTCGATAAGATGAGTAACGATCCATTTGTCCACTAGATGCCGCCATTATTCATCAATAATATTAATACAAACGACTCCAGCAATGTTGAATTATCCATATTATCAATGACAATAGAAAATTTGTTCATATTTCCACCTTCCTTCCAATAACAATAATAAAAGCACGGGATACTCAAATTTTGACAATTAAAACGCCCTCTCTGCGAAAAATTGGAACTAATGGAAGTAACGAACCATTTGTCCACCAGAAACCGCCAGAGGTACGCTTTTAAAAATTCGAAATTTTCAACTTTGTATCATGGAGAAATTGAAAGTTTCATTTGTACTTCCTAGTTGTTTTCACAGCTTTATTGGGGTAATATATTCGTTGAATTCGAAATAATTCAAAATTGAGACATGTGCATGTTCCCTATCACAATAATTAGTTACTCACTTCTTCCGATTGTATTTTTTTCTGTGAAGCCGTCGGATCCCAAGATCTTCTTCCAATTTTTACGTCCATGATGCAGGGCTCTTTGAAATTTTTAATCAGATCTTCCATGACTATATATTCGTATTCATCACCATTCACTTGCACTATTTTTGTTCCGTAATACTTTGGTACCAAACTTTTCAGTTCACTAAAAGTCTTATCCACTGAATTTTGGATGCTCGTATAAAAACCTATTTCTCTTTCTCCGTTTTCTTTTTTATGAATCGGTTTTAGGACTACTTCATTTTCTTTCAACATTCCTGAAAAAAGAATGTAATATGTTACTGTCAAGATGAATGTATATAAATAATTTAAAAAAATCGGCATTTGAAAAATGTGTCTAACCCATGGAGAATCCATCAATGTGATCGAGCGAAGGAACCGCTACTGTCGGTGCGTGACGTCACGAAAAGGCGAATGACGAATCTTGAATGCCGTCGACTAACCTCGAGAAGTTCGCAGAACATACGAGAGTGGAAAAAGTAGTAGTAGCATAAAGAGTGATTAAAGTGTCAGCTGTAAGTTATGTTTTACTTTCTGATGTGCAATACACCCGGATAATTTCGCTTTTCTTTCTATAATCAGTCGACTGGTTCATCTCCAGCCTGTTGACGGAATTGTTACTATAAGTGACAGATCTACTTCTCATTTCCACGGCTGAATAGAAGATTGCAACATGACAGTCTAGTGGAGTGGATACCATCCATGCGGAGTTCTTCGCCAATATAAATATTCATTGTTACATATTATTATATCTATCGTAATATCGAAGGACGGACACTACCAGTTATCCTCTTCATTCGTTGGAGGAAATGATTTCCTTAAAAATTAGCATATTTTTTGTTTTTTGAAGTATATAGGCAAAATTTATAAGTGTTACTGGCAACTTGGAGTACCATCTGATTTTTTATTACAACGCAAT